CTTGACTCTGCAATTCTCCAGGTGGCTATTCCTGGATGGCACTCATCCAGAAAGAGTCATTGTTCCTTTCTCCCTTTATTTCACTCAGAGATTATTTTGATAAGATTATGATTTACAAACAATCAAATTCATACGTTTCAAGTATACAATTCAGTGAAGTTTTTGTAAATTTACCAGGTTGTGCAACCATTACTGTAACCCAGTGTTAGAACATGTTCATTATCCTGGTTGGATTATTTATGCCCAAGTAGTTAATTACCATCTTCACCCCCAACTCCAGGTATCCACTAATCTACATTCTATCTTTAGATTGCCTTTTCAGGACACTTCACTTAATATAATTAGACTGTACGCAGTTATGTGTATCTGGCTTCTTTTGCTGTCTTTGAGGTTCATCCGTGTTGTGACATGTCAGTGATTTTTGTGATGGTGGGTTCCTGCTGCCCCCAGACCCACAGTTATTTAAAGGTGCCAAGCCGCCTGCTCTTTGAATAACCCCGCTTTCCCCCTGGCTCTCCTGCCGCCAGTTTCCCACAAGGCTGTTGGGCTCTCCTCTCAGTGACTTCACCTGACTGAGCTGCCTGCCTTCTCCAGCCTATCCTCCAGGCCCCGCCTGGCTCCCTGCTGCCCCTACACTGGCTTCCTGCCCTTCCTCCAAAGGCCTGGCTGGTTCCTGATTCAGGCTCTGCCCATTGCTGCTGTCACCTCCCCCCAGCAACCCTAAATCTTTGCCCATTGTTTGTCCCTCATTCTGTTCAGGTCTTGATTCAAATGTTGCTTCCTTAAAGAGGCACCATGACCTCGACTCAAATAGCATTCCTTCCCACACACATTCATTTGCCCCACTGTGTCTTCACAGCTCTTGTTCCTGTTTCTTGTTTATTCCTGAAATGATACTTTGTTATTATCTTGTTAATAGACTAGTGGGTATCTTCGTCTGTTTAAGCTGCTATAAGAGAATACCATAAACTGGGTGGCTTACCAAGAACAGAAATTTTTCTCTCACAGTTCTAGAGTCTGGGACATCTAGGATCAAGGCCCTGGCAGATTTGGTGTCTGATAAGTGTTGCTTCCAGGCTCAGAGGGGACATCTCCTGTGTCCTCACATGGTGGAAGGGATGAGGGGGTCTCTCCTTGGGCTCTAAGTTAAGAGCAACGGTGCCATTCATTAGGATTCTGTCCTCATGACCCATCACCTCCTGAAGGCCCTGCCTCCTAAATTCCATCACTTTGGGATTTAGGATTTCAACATATACATTTTAGAGAGGATATAAACACTCAGACAACAGCAGTTAAGAGAGCAGGTGTGGTGGCTCACGCCTGTGATCCCAGCACTTTGGAAGGCTGAGGCGGGTGGATCACCTGAGGTCAGGAGTTCAAGGCCAGCCTGACCAACATGGTAAAATCCCATCTCTACTAAAAATACAAATTAGCTGGGTGTGGTGGCATGTGCTTGTAATCCCAGCTACTGGGGAGGCTGAGGCAGGAGAAGTGCTTGAACCCGGGAGGTGGAGGTTGCAGTGAGATGAGAATGCACCACTGCACTCCAGTATGGGCAACAGAGTGAGACTCTTTCTCAAAAAAATCCAGATAGAAAAATTAGGTCGGAAAAGAAAACTCATAACTGGAGGCCCATCATGCTAGGCATTTATAAATGTATGACTGTATTCCCCCTTATCATAAGTTGTGAAGTGACATTTGAGATTTGAACTCAGTCCTGATTGACATGTGAAGCTCAGACACTACACACTGTATTTTGCTGTGAAGCAGACCTCAGAAAGTATGGTTAGATTCTGTGCAACCTTGAAAATGCTCTGGACTCAGTGGGTACAACTCAGCTATCTGTACTTCACACAACACAGGTGGTCTAGGAAAGAGGCTGCCTTTGGCTGGACTGTGCAAATGTGTTTTATTTTTTTTCCTGTCATGTTGGTCAGCAGTTATACCAAAGCTAGCTATCAGCATCTCTGAGTAGATGGTGATAAGGAGAGTCTGGGCATGCAACACCAGCTACTGGCACACTTTGTTTCCAGAGGGGTTATGATGATCGTATGTTTAAGGACAGCTGTATTATATACAGTACAGCTAGTGCTCGACTTACGACCATGGTCGGGACCGCGGACCGGTCCTAGCACGATTTGGTTGTAAGTTGAGTAGGCCATATGTACAATTGAAATGGTGCATGTAGAGATGGTAGTGCTGCTGGAAGCTGGTCCGCACTGTCGTACGCCCAGCTGGGCAACGTTTGCGCTGCCAGACGCAGAGCAGTGGTGGCTAGCAATTGTGGTCGTAAAGTCAAATGGTCATACGTTGCATAGGTGGTAAGTCGATCAATACCTGTACTTAAATAGTAATGGAAAGCATGATTCCAGAAGAGAGAAACCAAGCCACGTAGCTGTCTTTTGGTATGCTTGGCATGCAGTGATATGCTTGATAGAAAATAGTATTTCTAATTTTTGACAACTTGGTAAGTAGAGAGAGAGGGAGAGAGAGCTCTTAAAAGCACATACATATACAACTTGGAAGATAGGACTTATTTGGAAAAATACAAATTATTGGAATAATGAAGTACTGTTTTAAGCCATTTTATATAAGGTTAAGATGTTGTATAAAATAACTATTTTCATCTTATGTGATAAAGCAAGACAAAGGAAAAAGAAAAACTGTTTTAAGTTAGATCAGCATTTCCCAAACTAATACCCAAAGGAACACTGTTTCATGAGATGTTAAAATATATGCCTTGAAAAAAATTGTGTGGATCAAAGTTTGAGGATTAGTATATCTTAAAAATCTTGGGGGTGGGGTGGGGTGTGGGCAAACCAAACCTTTTTTTTTCCCCCAGTTAAGTATGACTATTTGTTTCTAGGAGTGATCTGTGGGGGAGAAACAGCTTGGGAAATGCTGAAATTTCTGATGGTTAAGGTAAGATTGGATATATGTATCTGTTTGGATAATTACTCATGTGATCTCTTTGAACCAAGGATCCTTAGCTCCAAGGAACTCTGATTTCTAGGAATATTTTGTAAACAAATCAATAACAGACAAATAGGTGAAGAATCTGAATTTTTCCAGTCCACCGATTTTTGAAAGGAGGCATCCAAACCCGAAGACTAAGTGGTTAGTGTTTGTAACAGTGAGCCACCTCTGACGGACAGCTGCATCACCTCTAACAACAGAGATGGAATGGATGAACTCAACTTACTTTCAAAGCTAATATTCTATGACTTAACTGCTTGGAAAGTAACTTGTTGCAGAAAGGGGAAATGCTTTATTCTCATAGAAAACACTTCTAGAGTTGCCCCCAACATGAAGAAACTGGAAGTAAAGTCTCTCATTCTTAAATAACATTTATTATTGTTGCAAAGACGTCTTCTCCATGAGAACATTTCTCACATTTATTTAAAGATATACGGGTTATGGATATAGAAGCAAATTTCACTGAGGTGTTATATTGAAGGATGCCCGACTATGATCCTTAATTCAGCAATCTAATATTCACAATGTGTCTGTTGCCATTTAGCTATTTATCCAAACATGCCTTTAAAANTGCAGCCTCTGCCTCCTGGGTTTAAGCAATTCTCCTATCTCAGCCTCCTTAGTATCTGAGATTACAGGCAGGCATTACCACTCCTGGCTAATTTTTGTATTTCTTGGTAGATACAGGGCTTCACCATATTGGCCAGGCCGGTCTCAAACTCTTGATCTCAAGTGATCTGCCCAACTTGGCCTCCCAAAGAGCTGAGATGACAGGCATGAACCACTGTGCCCAGCCCTTCACAGAGTCACTTTTATCTGTAATGAGAAATAGGAAGAAAAGAGCTGCACAAATGATCTCTCAAATCCCTTCAAAACCGAAAACTTTAAGTTTCTATGAAGTCAGAATGTTGCTTTATGAAACTAGGTTAAGCAAATAACTTCAAAGTACATTTCTCCAGAGCTTCCGGCAAAGAGTAGAGTCTACAGCAGAGTGCCCCCCACTTCCATTGAGGTTTCTCTGGGTAAAGGCCATACGAAAGAGCAAGTGCAATGATCAAAGCTCCAGGAACAGGAAAGAAAGAATATAGAGCCCGGGTAATACACGAGCCCCGGAGTCCATGTCTGAGTAATCAGGTATGAGCTGTGGCTCTTGGGTCTCCCTTCTGTTTGAACAGCAGCAGCAGAGAGAAGTCCACAAATGGAAATCATTTTTACTCATGTGCCAGCCCATGTTGACAGTGCCCTGAGCAGCAGTACTGTGGAGGTGGGAGAGATGGCCTGAGTTTATGTCCTGGCCCCTCACTTGTTAGTTCAGCAATTATGAGCAGATTGCTCACTTTGTCGTGTATCAATGTGGACAATAACATAATGCATAAATGTGCTCAACTGGTGCCTACTGCATAGCAGGTGCTCACGAAATGCTAGCTTTTTGATCTCCCTTTTACTTGTACTGAGATGCAGGAAGGATGCTACACTAAAATCAACAATATGTACAGGCATACCTCAGATATCATGGATTTGGTTCTAGAGCACTGCAGTAAAGTGAATATCACTATAAAATGAGCCATACAAATTTTGTAGTTTCTCAGTGCATACAAAGTTACACTATGCTGTAGTGTGTTAACTGTGCAATAGCATTATGTCTAGAAAAACAATGTGCATACCTTAATTTAAAAATACATTTCTGATACAAAATGCTAACGATCATCTGAGCTCTCAGTGAGTTGTAATTTTTTGTTGGTGGAGGGTCTTGCTGACTGATCAGGGTGATGTTTCTGAAGGCTGGGGTGGCTGTGGAGATTTCTTAAAATAACACAACAGTGAAGCTTGCTGCATCAACGGACTCTTTTTTTCATGGAAGGTTTCTCTGTAGTAGGCAATACTCTTTGATAGCATTTTATTCACAGTATAACTTTTTTAAAAAATTGGAGTAAATTCTCTCAACATCTGCCACTAATTTTGTGTAATATTCTAAATCTTTTGTTGTCATTTTGTTGTCTTTTGTCTTTTTCGTTGTCAAAAAAAAAAACCACATGTGCCTAGACAAAGTGGAAAAAGAAACATCAAGGGCTTGCTAAAAAGGAGAAACCTAAAAAAGATAAAATTCCCACAGCAGTTCTGTTCAACTGTAGTTTGTGAGTGCAGGAACAATGTTTCCGTGGGGAAGCATTATGCCCAGTGGTTTCCTGGTTTGAACAGTGGGAAAGCCCTTGAGGTTTTCTGTCGCTGTCAGGAGGGAGCGGGAAACTGTTTATGGAATCCATTCGATGTTCAGGCACCGTGCTATGAAAGCAAACATGTCTGAGACTTCCTCTATCACTTTGGCTGTGGGCTTCCCTGCTCCGTGGCCCGCCTTGGTATCCACGTGGATAAGCAGGGGGTTGCTTTGCTTCCTGCTGCGGCCCACGATGTACTGAAGGGTGGCGATGAACTTCAGGGAGTGAAGCGGGACCACTCGGTCATCATGGTCGGCAGTGAGGAGCAGCATGGACGGGTACTGGATGTCATCTGCTTCTGGTAACTTCACGTTATGCAATGGAGAGTATCTGGAAGGCAAAGACACCTTCGTGAGGCTGGAGAACAACACAGAGGTTTTTGCAGGACAATCCAGGAGAACTGGTATGGCACAGGGACCTATGTAGTTTACTAGGCTAACTTAACTAGTATATGAGTGACTACCACAGACTGTGTGTGCATGACCATTTAGGCCGTGACCAGCAAGGGCTTCTGCACTGCAGAGCTGTGTCATTTATGTGGCTCCAACTTTGAAAGACTGTCAGAAGGAAGGTCACAGCACTGTGGAAACAGCCCAAATCACAGGCACGCTTACTGTCCCTTAAGATGAATAGTTTCATGATCTCTAGACTTTTACTGCTACGTAGTGGAGTAATAATTGTCTTTTTAAACTGCTGGGTGTGGTTATAAGTCTAAGCCTTTCTTTTGTTGAGAAACTTGAAATCCACAGTATATGATAGCTTGCTGCCCCTTTATTCCAGGCTCAGTTCTGCAGTCTTAGGAAAAGCACAGGTCCTCTCTGGGCCTCGCTTCTTGTCTGTGAACTGAGGAAGCTGGACAGGCTGCTGGCTCTCAGTCCAGCAGAAAGCAGCAGCCTTCGAGCAGTGGAGGGGGCACCTTCTGAAGGACAAGGCAAGTTTCCTGGGTAAGTTAACAAAAAGGGTGCTAAGTATAAAAGTAATGTTGATTTTAACAGTGACTGATAATAGCGAAGTGAGAGGAATCTCTGGATATTTTTTCTTTACATTTTCCTAATACGGGTGCCATGTTCTTCAAAGTATTTAATATTAACGAATAAAATCAACTGTTGAGTTTTATTTTGAAGGGTAAATAGTGAAAACAGTAAAAATTCTGCTCAATTAACCAACTTGAGGCCAAAACATTCTCAGTTTCTGGGCTTCAGTTTCCCAACAGGTAAGTTGGAGATCCGTTTTTTGATCTCATTTCAGAGTGTTTTATGACCAACCCCATTCTTCCAACTAGCGGTTAGTTCTAAGGAGAAACAAGTTTGGAAAACCCTGCCTGTTAACAATAGTCTCCCCCTTGGAGATTCACATGGAACATTTATACATTATCTGGAGAAAATAAATACATTAGGCTTTATTTATCTCCTAGTCATTCAAACTTGGAACTCTACCTCTTTTTGGGGAAACACGTTTTAATAATTTTGGCGCTCCGTGAGGCATACCCCAGGGGGCGGGAGGTGCTGGGCTGGTGGAGCTCCCTGTAGGGCCTTCCTAGCTAGTGTGGGCTGAGTTCCACACTCATTTTACCAGCTACAGGGGAAAGGCAATGCAGCCCTGGGAGAACAAGATTTGAAAATTGAAGCGGGAATATCACAGAGAAAAATATTTAGAACTTTTTTTGTTTTTAAATTAATTTTGAAAGTATTAGGTGTCTCTAATATTCTTTTGCCTTCAATATTCAATTAACTCGGTATTTTCAAATGAGTTTAAATAGGACTTGTTTCCCTAGGTGCCAATTTTCTCCAACTTTTACCAATATTTGTCGATGAGGCCTGTGTGCACTGAAAAGTACTAACTTTCACAGTAAACTTTGTTTCCCCCGAGAGAACAGCATTTAGTAGTTTAAAGTACCCAGTTAAAACAATTCAGCCATTTTAAGTGTATTTCAAACTGGAGAGGCTAGCCGTAAAAAGCAAACAAAATGAAAGAACAAACTTTAGAAACCAGGCCATGCATGGTGGAGCGCACTTGTCGTCCCAGCTACTGGGGGCTGAAGCATGAGAACTGTCTGAACCCAGGAGGCAGACGTTGCAGTGAGCCAAACTGTGACACTGCCCTCCAGCCCGGGCAGCAGAGAGATCTTGTCTCAAAAAAAAAAAAAAAAAACTTTAGTTATTTTGGTCAAAATTTGTGGTTTACTAACAACAGGTGGAACAAGCTTCTTGTGCCAGTCTGAGAGCCACTCCTAAACACTGCTGATTAAAAATAAAATTTAAAAACTCTTACATAATGGAGAATGAAAGGCCAAAAAGAAGTTTTAATGTCTGTTTACTCATTGTTATCAATCACCATAGTGGTTTCAGGATACAAGGGACATTGTATAAGATTTCAATAATGCAACTTGCAGTTTCAAATATATGTAGCTATACTGAGCATAAAATAAGTTTAACTGTACTTGAATATATTCCTTTTTTTTTTTTTTTTTTGAGACAGGGTCTTGCTCTGCTGCTCAGGCTGGAGTGTAGTAGTGTATCTTGGCTCACTGCAACCTCTGCCTCCCAGTCTCAAGCCATTGTTCCACCTCGGCCTCCCAAGTAGCTGGGACTACAGGCAGCGCCACCATGCCCAGCTAATATTTTGTAGAGACAGGGTTTCACCATGTTGCCCATGAAGGGCTGGTCTTGAACTCCTCAGCTGGTGATCTGCCTGCCTCCGTCTCCCAAAGTGCTGGGACTGCAGGTGTGGGCCACCATACTCGACCCCCCTTCCCTTACTTTTTATTTTGATCTGCTACTTTAGGAGCATATATTCTTTGCTTAATTTAGAAAAGAAAATCCCAGCCAGGTGTGGTAACTCAAGCCTGTAATCACAGCACTTTGGGAGGCTGAGGTGGGCGGATCACGAGGTCAAGAGATCAAGACCATCCTGGCCAACATGGTGAAACCCTGTCTCTACAAAAAAATACAAACATTAGCTGGGCGTGGTGGTGTGCGCCTGTAGTCCCAGCTACTCGGGAGGCTGAGGCAGGAGAACTGTTAGAACCCAGGAGGCGGAGGCTGCAGTGAGCTGAGATTGTGCCACTGCACTCCGTCTGACGTCTAGCGACAGAGTGAGACTCTGTCTCAAAAAAAAAAAAAATCCCATACATTGATATAAAGCATAATAATACCTTTTGATTGCTACAGTAACAAATTACCACAACTTTAGCAGCTTGAAACACCACAGACTTCTTATCTCACAGTTCTGTATGTCAGCAGTCTGGGTTGGCTCAGCTGGGTTGTCTGCTCTGTGTCTCCCAAGGTCAAAATGAAGGTGTTGGCTGATTGGACTCTTAAGGGGAAACTCTGAAAAAAAAACTACTTGCAGGCTCAGGATGTTGGCAGAATTCAGTTTTGTACAGCTGTGGGACTTAGGTCCTGTTTCTTGGATGGCTGTTGTTTGGGGGTTGCTCTCAGGTCTAGAGGACCCCTTCCTCCATAGTCAAAGCCAGCAATGGCAGGTTGAATCCTTTACATGCTTTCAATTTCTCTGACCTCCCTTTCTGCTGCATCCCTGGCTCCAGCCAGAGAATGTGCTCAGCCTTTAAGGGTTTATGTGATTTGTCACCCCCTAGATAATCCAAACAGCAGCAGATTAATATCCTGCCCCCCTCACAGCAAGTAGTACCTAGATAAGTGTTTGGGATGCCATCTTTAGAATTCTGCCTACCATATTTTTGTAGTTTGCTGCTTCTGTTAAAGACTAGATTAAAACAAGAAAGACAAGTAGGTATTCCCATCTCTTCTCCTACTTCTCGGTAAATTATATGCAAGACACTGAAGATGACAAAGCTCAAGCACTAATCCTGCTGTGTGACTGTTGAGTTTCAATCAGATCACTAACAACATATATATGTCAAAAGAGCCTTACTTGACAAGCCATTCAAAGTGTTGTTTGCTGTCCGAGCACCCATAATCAGTGGTCCAAGCATGGCCAATGGTATATTTATGAAACTTCAGCATGTCCATTACTCCAACTTGGGCAATAACACAACCAAAGAGGTCAGGTCGCTGATTTGCACAAGTAGCTAAAAACCCAAGGTAGAAAAGGGAGGCAGTCTATCATTAAACATCTACATAAACAAAGCAAGGCAATACTTACATGCTTCCAGAACCCTGGTTGCATTATTTATCCTCAGAGCACAGGAGGAAGCCATCAGAAATCACCTGCCCAAGAGCCCCAAAGCTCCCTACTCGCTCTGATATCTGTCAGAGGGGTGGGAATTCTCATCAGTAATACAGCTTTACTCCCCAAAGTGAATCCTGAAAAGCTTGACGACTTCTGGAAACCCTGTATCCCCCGCTCCCATCCCCAGTTGCTTTCACAGTGATGAGGGGGATTAAGGGACTTGTCCAAGATCTCAGGACCTGCCCAATGCATAATAGGGTCTCTTTGTATGTCATTTATCAGATGCCCAAATACAAATAGTAGAAACAGGTTTTGCTCTCCTTATACCACTTTGTGGTCCTATCCACAAAGTGAATCAAGAGCTGCCTACAGATGGTGTATCTGAAAACCCCAAGAGGGCTAACCAGTAAGTACAATGAATAAAATCCACTACTTACCCACTAAGAGGCCTCCATTTGAACCCCCATTAATAGTCAGCCTCTTGGGAGATGTGTAACCTTCCTTGATCAGATACTCAGCAGCACACTGAAAGTCATCAAAGCAGTTTTGTTTGTTGGCCAAGATACCACCTACAATGTGCCAAAGTGGAAGATAGATAGTTAATTAACAAAACCAAACATAAAAATAAATTTAAAGGGAATCCCAGTGATGATAGGGCACAGTTTCAACTACTGATTAACTTAAAAACAATGGGTTAACACTGCATTAAAAAAATGCCTCAATTTAAGTTCTGTTATGCACTGTGGAAACAGATCATCAATACCACAATGCTAATCCATATGGTGGATCTGTATTTTTCTAAAAGCCTCTAGAACTTAAACAGGAAATGCCCCAAAGGGAACAGATGGCTGGTTATGAGAGAAGCATGATGATGAAAGGATAGAAGCATGTCCTCACAAGGAACCTGTATTCTGGGACGCTGAACTTAAAAATATAAAGCGAGACCTGCAGCAGTGCTCAGCCCTGTGGGTTCCACCCAGCACCCACGCCAGAGCTGGCTGTGGGGGTGCTTGTGCCTCCCCTCCCTGCGAAGATGGAGGTGGAAGTGCTCTGCAGAGGCACACTTCCCACCCCACCTCTGCAGGAGTCGGACATGGTCGGGGATGGGGAGAAAGAAATTCCCCAGTCTTGCCCAAGGTTATTAATTTAAAGAATCAGCAGGAATTGGGTGGTGAGGTAGTGCCGCAGCAGACCACCACATAATGGTTTCTCAATTCCAGATTAAAAGACCTTAAACATTTCCCCAGAGAATCTGGGCTTTATCATCTGCAAATCATTCCAGCATATTAAACCAAACAAATTACTTGGAGAAACATTTACAGGGCTGTGAAATATCTATAAGTAAAGGCCAAAAGTCAAACACATGTGCTCAAAGGAACAGATGTCTGAAATAACTGCCTTTGAAATGAACAAAGAACAGACACAGATCTAATTAGATATTTGAGATTAACCACTTCGGCTGAAATTTAATTAAAGGAGTGCTACTGAAATGTTTTTCATATCAAAACAAATGTTAAGAAATTACCAGTTAATTTAGAACAGCTAGGATTACTTAGTTTCTAGGAATAACAGTATTTTGGGGATATGACTAAATTTTAAAAAGCATTAAATTTTAAAGTCAATTAACAGAATGGAATTCAGATTCACCAATGTTTTGTATCCTAGGCTGTAACTGGAAAAGGTCTATTTCTTGTCCTTGCATCATGGCCTAAATTTTGAAGAAGTTTATCAATCAGTCTAAACATAGTCTACTTAGCCTTGGTCAAACTCGAACCTCCCTAATCCCAAGACTGGAAAATAACTTGGTTGTAATTAAAAGAATGAGAGAACAGACCAGGAGCTAGGGTCCTCTTCCTTATCAGAGCATGGTGGGCACCTCATGATCAGAGGGATTTTCTGGAGACGAATCCAATTCTTTCAGGAGAGAGTCCCAGAATCAGGGGTCCATGTGTAGGGGGTATGGGGAATCAACTACATACAACTTAAATAGGAAATCAGGTGATGAGTACACACACTTGGGATGTAAATCAAACACAGCATGCAGAAAATTTATCTTCTTATCACGATCTTTTAATATCAGTTTCACAGTGTGATGTGTAAACTCTAATATTAACTCAAAATTATGCAATGAATTCTATGCAGTTTCAAAGACAGTCACAGTTGATAGTTTCTGGGGTTGATACCTGGCAACAGTGGACCACATGGCTAGCCACAAGCACTCACTAAGGTGCCCTTGAGGAAGCTGGTGTCAGCCCCTGGGGTGCATGCTGGATGCCCAGAGGTCAGACCTAGGCCTTTCCTGCATATGGTACCTAACAGGTAAAGTTCTTTTTACAGGTTTACCCTTATGTTTGCTGATTTCATTTGATGGAAAAAAAACCCAAAAAACTCAGGGCCTCAAGCCTCAGGTTTGGGATGGCATAGGAAACAGAAGAGAGGTACAGATCTGAAGGGTGGTCTCTGATGCTGAGGAGACTCTACCTGATGCTGCTGACCAACCCCAGTGTCCTGGCAGACCTTACTATAAACAATGGCTGATGACAAGACTGTGGGAAGCACAGAGCTGGTGGAGGTGCTTTCCCACATCCCCCCTGCCCCAGAGACACACAACCAAGGCACGTGAAGAACTTTTTCAGACTGCTTTGAATGGTCAGGCCTATCTAGGTCTGACCCCTGGGGATCCAGCATGCACCCCAGGGGCTGACACCAGCCTCCTCAAGGGCATCTTAGTGACAGTGAGTGCTCGTGGCCAGCCATCTGGTCCACCGTTGCCAGGTATCATCCCCAGAAACTACTGACTGTGACTGTCTTTGAAACCGCATAGAATTCATTGCATAATTTTGAGTTGATATTATAGTTTACACTAAAATCATAGTGTGAAACCAATACTAAGATAAGTGATAAGAGAATAAAATTTCTGTATACTATATGTTTGATTTACATCCCAAATGTGTGTGCTAATTCTGAACCCCTTGATTCACCTGATTTCCTGTTTAAGTTGTATTTAGGTCATGCATCATAGCCCTATGCGTGGACCCCGATCTTGGTTAGTCTATGAATTCAATTTCAGATACACAAAAGCCTGGGTGATGGGGTGCTCCACATAGAAAGAAATGGAAAAGATGCAGATGATCATTCAAAAAAACTGTGACCATCTGGTGTATAAAGTTGGGTATTAGTGAATTAGCTAGAATTTTGTATTGATGATATGCTTCAGGAGGCCAGAGAATGGAGATGGAATAAAACCAGAAAAAAAAAAAAAAAAAAATGACTGCGTTTTTGTGTCTAAAACTAATGCACGATAGAGTCACAGCAGCCACGCTAGGAGGATGCGATTTCTCAGCAATGCCAGGAAGATCTGAGAAAACCGGCAGGAGAATACTGCTCCTTTTTCTTCAGAGAAAATGACCCGCCTTGACTTCTGTTTCAAGACAGTCAACTAATACTAAACTGTAAAAACAAGGCTAATAGGAGACAGAATAAATACCAAAAAGCTCTCCAAGATTCACTTCTGACAATGATAATTAAAAGCACAACCTATGAGTTGTTAAACCCCCAAATAAAAGGAAATGCTTCTGAAAAATATGTACTTCATCTATTTATTATAACAAAGGAAAATAAAACGTGAAAAGAGTTGTTTTTAAGGGGGGAGTGGTGCCTAAATGTGTTCGGTAATATCCTTGGTTTTCATTCGTCTAGCCAAAAGGCTTTCCTGCTCCTAACCCCCTCAGCTCGTTCAAACGGGAAGGATCAGCACAACCTTTGCTTTGACTATGTCAGACTTGTGTTTCTGTAGACAGAACACCTCACCTTTATGCCACGTCTCTCCATATTCGCCGCCACCTCTGATGTTGGCCACTGCCAGGATACCACCCATGTGCCTCACAAAAATAAGCCTGGAAACACTGAGAAACAGTAAAAACAGTTAGCCTTCATGAACTGCCTAGTGAAGACCATGTTACCCCTCTCCATCTCAAAAAAGTATATGCCCAAGAACACTGAGTAATACCATCTAAATAGGAGTTTGATATTCCTTATATTGCTTAAGTGAAAAATACGTAACTTCCAATTAATACCTAATTGCAAAGCTAATTTTTTTTTGAGACAGAGTCTGGCTCTGCCACCCAGGCTGGTGCGCAGTGACATGATCACAGCTCGCTGCAACCTCCACCTTCTGGGTTCAGGTGATCCTCCTGCCTCAGCCTCCCAAGTAACTGGGATTACAGGTGTGCGCCACCACGCCTGGCTAATTTTTGTATTTTTAGTAGAGACGGGGTTTTGCCAAGTTGGCCAGGCTGGTCTTGAATTCCTGCCTTCAAGTGATCTGCCTGCTTTGGCCTCCCGAAGTGCTGGGATTCTAGGCATGAGCCACCGTGCTGGAGCAAAGCTAATATGTTTTCACGGGCATTTGGTGTGTCTTATTTTTCTAAATTGATAAATATTTCACTACACAATTCATAATATAAACAGAGAAAAAACAAAACACTGCCAGCCCAGGCATGAATGGTGCTGGGCTCACACAGGAACACCTGATAATGGTCCTGTTTATCATTTTTTGAGTAACTTTCTCCAAACTGTTAAGTTGGAAAATAAAAAAAGCTTTTTCTAAAACACGGATTTTTAAACATGTTTTCCAGTTCTACAGAAACTTCTCAGTTAAACTAGCCAACACAAGGCGTGCGAGAGGTAAAGGAGATCAGGAATAGAGTTCTCAGGGCTGGAGGATATTTTCTAGAGATAACGGAAGCAACTGCAGCACAAACCCTCTAGGAAAGTGTTAAGTCCTTCGGAAAATCTGGATTTTATTTCCCCCTTCTTTTACCACGATGACCCTAAAAGTACTGAGTGACATTGCTGTTAGTTAAAATTAACTTTGCTTTGAGAATTATTTCTGAGAATTGTGTCACTCTTTTAGAAACTGGGGAAATCACGGGCTTCTGCAACCTGAAGGCTCTTGATGGCTTGAATGCTAATTTCCTAAATATCGAGGATGAACAGGAGAGGTCGGAAGACTTAGGGTAGATGTATCAGACCATCCAACCACACCTTATTAGCCAAACTGTTGTTCAATCACCTGGTCCTCTCTTCAAGATTTTCCTGCATCTCTGATGGTCTCTCCTGAGACTACTATTAAAGGCACTGGGTGCTGGGATGAAAATGGCCCTGGGACTTATCTCTTGAATCCCCAAAGGGCAGGCTTAATAAATGCTTGCTGCCCAAATGAACAAAGACAAGTGCTTGTTTTAGGTACAGTAGATCCACTCAGGAATCGGTGTTGTCTTGATCCTAGCCCACCTGCTGGGACCAGGGAAATGGGGCTCAAGGTGACTCATTATTCACTGAGAAAGCATATGTTCACTGCCCCACACCCGAGCATCCCTGTGAGCTAAAACTGAAGCCTGTATTTTAACACTTTGAGTCATATAAGGATTAGGTTAATACAATAAACCAACGTTTATTGTCTTGCTTTTTTATTATTTTTACAAGGGGCAAGGAGGCTTGCATTCCTAGAAATAATCATCTCAGGGAATATATACAGCATGTAATATTAACCCATAGATATCAATGTGTTAATATTACATATTTGTTATTACAACCGTAACAAATCTCATTGTCTGTGAAACTTTGGAAAGAGATGGGAAGTTCCCATGTCTGGAATGCTGCCTGGTAGATGGCGCTGTCAATACAGGATGAATGAACAGCAACCGTTATGACACTTTTCTAACTAGTTTCCCTTCATTTACTCATGTGATGATGCCACATATCTTTTGAAAATACTGTTCTATATCATGATTTTACACAAAAGCCTCCCATCAGCTCCTTGCTAACAAAAAAGTAAATGCAAACTCCTTAGCCAGATACTCGAGATCCACATTTTCATTATAAATTACTTGAGGGCAGGCATCGTGTTTCATACTTCATTAAACCTAAAAGAGCTTCTACAGATACTGAGTGCTCAAAACAAAGGAACAGTGTTCTTGCATTCAACTTCAGGACAGATGGTTACATCTATTCTGAATTTATGTCCTGGTAGTCACCAGTCTATGAATCTCTTCCCAAACAGAAAAGATCCTGGAGGAATCTGTGAATCAGATTTCATAAGGGGTTCTATTTGGAAGATGGCTCAAAGCTAGTCTTGCTGGTAGGAAACTCCTTGTTTTTATTACAAGTGCGCAAAGCAAATTCCACTTTATATTAACAATGGGATACTGAAATAAAGTTTGCAAATAACAAAGAAGATATTTATACCAACAGCAGCAAACATATGAATGTAGAATTTTCTCCCTGAAAGTAGTTATCTGGGAAATAATCATAGAAACAGCATAGAACAGTCTGAAATAGATGATGTAACAGAGTATACAGAAAACATATTTATGGCTGAACGTTAAGACAGTCTATTTTAAGACTTTGCTGGTGAAAAATATCAGCTAAGAAATCATTCCCTCTGAAGAGAATACTGAAGGTACCAAGCAGTGGAGCAAATGACAAACATTGAAGAAAGGAGCTTCCTTTAAGACCTCGACTCATGCTAATCTTCTGGAGTCATGCAGTCATAGCCTCCCCACCTAGTTCTCAAACAACCTATTACCCTGAATGAAATTTTTTTTTTTTTTTCCAAGATTAGCTTGTAAATGATCCTTCAATTACTGGTCAAAATTTCAATAGTTAACACAGAATCCTGCCCATCTATGGAAAAAAAGAATTTTGTAGTACTGTATTTTATTTTATTCGAGACAGAGTTTTGCTCTTGTTGCCCAGGCCAGAGTGCAGTGGGGTGATCTCGGCTCACTGTAACCTCCACCTCCTGGGTTCAAGTGATTCTCCTGCCTCAGCCTCCTGAGTAGCTGGGATTACAGGCACCCGCCACCACATCCAGCTAATTTTTTTTTTTTTTTTGTTTTTTTAGTAGATATGGGGTTTTACCACATTGGCCAGGCTGGTCTTGAACCCCTGACCTCAGGTGATCCACCCGCCTCAGCCTCCCAAAGTGCTGGGATTACAGGTGTGAACCACCACACCCGGGCAGTAATGTATTTCAGAAAGATGATTAGTAGAGCACTGGTTTGTTTCCACTCTATGGAAAAGATCAAACACTGGCACTGTGAGTGCGTTCTGAGCTCACCTGTAGTTGGGTGTGATGGATATGTTGAAGCCACCATAGCCATATAAGAAAGCAGGATGAGAACCATCCAATTTTATGTCTTTTTTATGCACAATGAACATTGGAATTTTTGTACCATCCTTGCTGGGGTAGAAAATCTAGAACATAAGAAGACAGAATATAAGATTTAGCATTACTTAGTAAATACTGCATGCTTTTAAATGGGAAAAACAATAAATTCTCTCTTTATGATGTACAGTGGCACGATTAAAACCTATTGCCTCTAAAGGGCTATTTGGTGAAGCATCTTTCAGTTTTTATGGAGAGAATGCAGAGCAGTTTAAAGAGCCTGCCTCTGAAAACGGAGACCTGCATTTAATTGTTATTCCACCACTACTTGCTGGTGCCCTTCGCATGTCGTTTATCCTCTCCCAGCCTCAATTCTGCATCCCCACATGTGGCCATCGTGCCCACCTCTCCGGGCCTTCCCGAGGCACACAGAGAACAGGCTTTCCACTCTCTGCTCCTTCTCACCCCTCTCAGCACTGACAGAGGCAGATTTGCCATCCTGCCAAGCAACTTAATCTAGCAAGACTTATACTCCAGAAAACAAATTTTATATTCAACTTCCTCTCAGAATGTTAAGATGCTCAACACATCATTTTCCTATGCTGAACTACTAACTAAATGTTAGCAGCAACAAAACTTACTAGCTCAGAAAGCTGATGAGGGAAAACATGGAAATCCTATTATTCCCAGTAAACAACGACCCTTCTCTCCACTATTGATAACTAAGGTTCCTGAAGTCTTCCTGAATCTGGGCTACCTCAGGCAAGTTCAAAGTCAACATCTTCATAGCCTTTTGGATAAAGGATTTGAAAAAAGGCATAAGGAGAGGAACATTAAAAGCTAGTCAACTGACAAGTCATAGAATAAATTATAAGCCACAAAACGCTGATAATGCTTTTTTCTCCTGAAAGGAAAGCTGTGAATAGCTTTCTCTTTGGGTAAACATGTTTTTACCCCAAACAACTCCTAAAAAGTACCCCAGTTTGGAATCATCTTGTTGACCTTGTGTTCTAGTCATAGGTATAAGCCTTTACACTTCATGTGACCTGGAGCCATATTTTATCCATAGCTTTTTAAGGCAGCAGTTCTGCTGCAGAAAGCTGCCACAAAGTCCATGGAAATAACCAGGGTGGGGGAGCGGAGGGAGAGTGGGCAGGTATGCAGATTTAGAGATAGGAGTTATGGGACCATGATAAACACCTGCAAGTCTGGTAGTTTTTTGAAACCTGCCAAGCAACAGTAATATAAAAAAGCATTTGTTTCGGACTCTGCAGAGAAATACTGAGATACACTTAAGTTTGGCATCTGAGGAATCATGGAGAATACTCTTCAGAGTTCAAAATTATCAGAGGGGATACAGTTTTATTTAAAGTTATTTAGTGCCAGTTAGCAGCTGGGTAGGTAAAATTAACATGGAGTAAGAGGAACAAATTCCAAGGGACTGGCTGGGATTAGTGAGCTAAAACTCAAGACTTAGAATTCAGAGCATTATACCCACAGAGGCAACAGCATCAATGAGCAAATGGGCAAACCGTCTAATGTGATGCTACCTTCACAAATCATCTGTTTAAAAACTCACCTTCTTCCCTCCATCCCAGCTTCTCCCCTAGTTTCAAATCCCAGTCCAGCTCAATTCTCCCCAGGCTGACCCCTCCGCATGCACCCTGATCGCCACGCAGCCAGCTGGGCTGCTGCACTCCTCATCCCAGCTAACAGACTCTCAGACCCTCCATCTGTTCCCACAGTGCTCTATCTCTTGATGCTTCATGACACTTCAACTTCCTCCTCCCATATCACTTTTCTTGCTACCATCTGTAAGATTTCCAGTGCCTGCAAGCCAGCCTGCAATTAGCTCTCTTATCTGACTCCAGGGCAAAATCATCCTTTGAGAATACCACTGAAAGCATGAAGTTTCCATTATCCCCATGGTTGCAGAAATATATCTAAGCTTTAAGTTGATGTGGTTCTAATGTTAAAAACAATATGTTGAATTTGGTCCAAAATGAAAGGACACTGCAAAGATGACTTTACTGTGGGGAAGAAAACTCCTTACAGGAAGGCTACTTTAGTCTTGAAATAAGCATACAGGCATACCTCGGAAATACACTGAATTTTTGGTTCCAGACAACCACAATAAAGCAAGTCATACAAATTTTTTGGATTCCTAATGCATATAAAAGTTATGATTACACTATATGGTAGTCTATTAAGTGTGCAATAGCATTGTCTAAAAAATGTGTATGCCTTAAAAAAGGCTTTACGGCTAGAAAATGCTAATGGTTATCTGAGACTTCTGCAATTCATAATCTTTTTGCTTGTGGAGGGCCTTGCCTTAGTGTGAATAGCTGCTGATCGATCAAGGTGATGGCTGCTGAAGGCTGGAGTGGCTGTGGCATTTTCTTAAAATGAAGACAACAGTGAAGTATGCCACACTGATGGACTTTTCCTTTCATGAAGGATTTCTCTTTTTTCTTTTTTTTTCTTACTGCCTCTGTGATTGAAGAAATAGCAATGAAGGATTTCTCTGTAGCAATGGAATGCTGTCTATGATGGTTAATACTGAGTGTCAACTTGATTGGACTGAGGGATACAAAGTATTAATCCTGGGTGTGTCTGTGTGGGTGCAGCCAAAAGAGATTAGCATTTGAGTCAGCGGGCTGGGAAGGCGGATCCACCCTTAACCTGGTGGGCACAATCTAATTAGCTTCCAGGTATATAAAGTAGGCAGAAAAATGTGAAAAGGAGAGACAGGCCTAGCCTCCCAGCCTACATCTTTCTGTTGTGCTGGATGCTTCCTGCCCTCGAACATCAGACTCCAAATTCTTTAGTTTTGGGAATTGGATTGGCTCTCCTTGCTCCCCAGCTTGCAGACAGCCTACTGTGACCTTGTGATCATGTAAGTTAATGTTTAATAAATTTCCATATATATCTCTCTCTCCTATTAGTTCCATCCCTCTAAGAGAACCCTGACTAATTCACTGACAGCATTTTACCCACAGCAGAGCTTCTTTCAAAACTGGAGTCAATCCCTTCAAACCCTGCCAGTGTTTTATCAATTAAGTTTATGGAACATACTAAAACCTCTATTGTCATTTTAACGATGTTCACCGCCTCTTCATCAGGAGCAGATTCCATCTCAAGAAACCACTTTATTTGCTCATCCTTAAAAAACAACTCCTCATCCATTCAAGTTTTATCACGAGATTTCAGCAGTTCAATCACATACGCAAGCTCCACTTCTAATTCTTGTTCTCTTGCTATTTCCACCACATATGCAGTGACTTCCTCCATTGAGGTCTTGAACCCTTCAGAGTCATCCATGAAGCATTACAATCACTTCTTTCAAATTCTTGTGAATGCGGATATTCTGACCTCCTCTCATGAATCATGAATGTTCTTCACGGTATCTAGAATGGTGAATCCTTTCCAGAAGGTTTTCAATTTACTTGGCCGTCATCAGAGGAATGTATGGTAACTATAGCCTTACAAAATGTATTATTTCTCAAATAGTAAGACTTGAAAGCCAGAATTACTGGTTGATCCACAGGCTGCAGAACGGATATTGTGTTAGCAGGCATGAAAACAACATTCACCTCCTTGTATTGCTCCATCAGAGCTCTCGGGAGACTAGATGTGCTGTCAATGAGCAGTGATATTTTGAAAGAAAATCTTTTTTCTGAGAAGTAGGTCTCAACAGTGGGCCTAAAATCTTGAGTAAACCATGGCGTGAATAGATGTGCTGTCATCCAGCTTTGTGTTCCATTTCTAGAGCACAGAGTAGATTTACCACAATTCTTAAGGGCCCTGGGATTTTCAGAATGGTAAATGAGCACTGGCTTAGCCCTTAAGAAGAAAGTCAGTCTGTCTTTGAAGCTTTGAAGCCAGGCACCGACTTCTCTCTAACTATGAAAGTCCTAGATGGCATCCTCTTCAAATAGAAGGCTGTGCTGTCTACATTGAAAATCTGTTTAGTGTAGCCACCTTCAACAGTGACCTTAGCTAGATCTTCTTGAGAACTTGCTGCAGCTTCTACATCAGCACTTCTTGCTGCACCTTGCACTTCTATTTTATGCAGACGGCTTCTTTCCTGAAACCTTCTGAGCCATCCTCTGTTAGCTTCACACTTTTCTTCTGCAGCTTCCACACCTCTCTTGGTCTTCACAGAATTGAAGAGTTAGGGCTTTCTATGGATTTGGCTTTGGCGAATGTTGTAGCTGGTGTGACCTTCTAACCAGACCGCTCAAACTATCACCGTATCAGATATAAGGCAGTTTTGCTTTCTTATCATTCATGGCTTCACTGAAGTAGCATTTTCAATTTTTTCAAGTTCTTTTCCTTTTCATTCACAACTTGACTAACTCGTCCTGAGACAGACCAAAAGCTAGCCAAGCCTCGTGCACATTCCTTCTTCACTGAGCTTAGCCCTTTCTGGCTTTGACTTCAAGTAAGATGTGAGAGTCCTCCTTTCACCTGAACGTTTAGAAGCCACTAGAGGGTTGTTCACTGCCCTAATTGAGGCCCAAGGAGAGGGACTGAGACATGAATTGGTCAGCAGAGTGATCAGGACACATATAACATTTATCAATTAAGTTCACAGTCTTATATGGGTGTGGTTCATGGCACCACAAAACAATTACAATAGTCACGTCAAAGATCACTGATGAGGGATCTCCATAACAAATATAGTAATAATGGTTTGAAGTATTTTGAGAGTTACCAAAATGTGACACAGAGACACAAATAAGCATGTATTGTTGGAAAAATGGCACTGACAGACTTGCTTGATTCAAGATTGCCACAAACCTTCAATTTGTAAAAAAACACAGTATCTGTGGAGCACAACAAAGTGAAGGGAAATGAACTGAGGTATGTCTGTATATATATATGAATGGTGTGATGTCTGAANAAAAAAAAAAAAAAAAAAGGCAATTATTTGTGAAGTTCAGTTATACAAGGTATGCCTGTACATGTAATATACACATGAATAACTATCAAATTCCTCTGTGGACACATGCATGTACACAGTAGTATTTTCTGACATTTCCATTTATGGAATGGTAATTGATAGTAAACCTAAACCTGCCTCTTC